CGAGAAGCGGGTCACGTGTCGTAAAGCTCAAAGTTTCTACGACTTTCGTCTTTTTGACTGGTCTATATATTATATACATGTGACACAATGATTCTTTCATGTATCTGATCTAAAATTTTGACTGGTCTGTACATATATGTCACAATGATGCTTTCATGTATCTGATTTAAATAATTCGCCGGTCTATACACTGAAAGCATCGTTGTACCACATTGTTTCCGATCTAAATTGTTTGGCTGGTCTATACACTGAAAGCATCGTTGTACCACATTGTATTTGATTTAATATTTGATTAGCATGTAGTAGAAAGGCTTTGTGTAACTGCTTTCGGTTAGTCTGTGTTAAGATGTAAGTATATATAGATATAAATACAATCTGTATTTATATATTTGCATCTGTTGGACGACCGAAATTTTTAAAATTGAGAACTCTGATACTTTCATTGAAAAACTTCTTTGTGCTGTTGCAAATATTATAATCCTCATATGAATTACATGCAACCAAATATATATATATATATATATATATACGTGTTATAGTTGTATCTTTGTGATTTATTTAAGGTAGTGAAAGTGTAAGCAAAAACCCGCATTAAAATCTACTTTAGCAGATGTGGTCAGAACAACCCGAAGAAGGAGATGCACACAAATAATATACAAAAATACAAGAACATCATAGGTTCAGTGATAATACTATTTCATGCGCTATATTGCGCGTAGACTTCACGTGTTTTGTGTGAATGATTTAACAAGTAATTGTACTGTGGATTACCAGATTGGAACAAAATACTTTGACGTTTCGTAGTATTAGATTTGTTATCCAGTGTAGCCACGTATGTTTCACAAGTTAGACTATTTAATGGCCTCGTAATCTATAGATTAAAGTTGGGGACTATTTCTTCGCTACGTCCAAGGAGAAATGTTTTAAATAATTTTAGTGTTTCGCAATTATTCACGATTATTAAGCTTTTCTAGTAGCATCTGCATTCTGCACGTGCAATTCCCTCTATTTTTTCTATTTTTATAAAAGTAACAAGTTCTGCTTATACAGTTTGGTTGTTTGCAGTTAAGTCACAAATCTACTCAACGAGCTGTTTGTGCTGTCCCCATCACCAGTATCGAAACCCTGTTTCTAGCGTTATGAGTCCGCAGACTCACCGCTGTGCCACTGGGGGCCTTCTTTTCAAGCCTACAATGTGGTTATGTTATCATGTTAAAATATGTTTAGCTTGAATAAATACTGCGAATAAAAGGTTAAAAAATTATCATCGGCATTTTCATTTCCGTTTCTGTTTCATATAAATCTATGTTGATCAATGCGAACAGCATGCTTACGGTTATTAGCAAGGTTTCAAGTCTTTAACTTCTGGGAGCTATTTCAGTTACTTGATGAACTTTACTGATATTAAAAACTATTATGTATTTACTGAGAAATATTAAAGGTGAAGACTTCTCTTGTTTAAAGTAGAATGTGAGCTGTGCATTGAACATTTGTTTCTAGAGGATTTTTTGTTGTTGTTTATATTTCAAAAAAATAGCTGGAATTTTTCTTTTGTTTTCTAGCATAGCCACTTTAGACTATATACTGTGTCCACCGCGAGGAATCAAAACCTGTATTTAAGCGTTGTAAGTCCGTAAACTTACCGCTGTCCCATCGGGGGACTAGGTGAAATTATTATCAACATCCAGGATTTTGTTAATACTTTAAGTAATATATTTCAAGTATTTTAGTATTTTAATTAATAAATATAATGTATTTAAAATATTATTTGTTTAAATTGAAGCCCAAAGCTACACAATGGGCTATCTGTGCTCTACCCACCACGGGTATCGAAACTGGGTCTCTAGCATTGTAAGTCCGCAGACATATCGCTGTGCCACTAGGGGGGAATTTTAGAATATAAAATACCTATGAAAACGTGATTTACTTTGCCACGTGATATACTTTTCAAATTATCAATAACGCATAAGGAAGACACGGGGTACACGAGGAGCTCAGAAATAGGCGCCAATCTGCATCCACTTATTTCACTCTCCGGGATGCCCTAAGAGTACGTGCAAGGTTTGTTGACAATCGGTTCAGCGGTTTGCCAGTTATAAGAGAACTCACACATCTACAGACTTTATCAAATAATGATGTAGACTTCTTATGTTCTTAATATCATATCTAGTATATTTATATCTTTCTACAACCAAAATATCAATAGAACTATTGTGGGTTGTGACTTAATAAGATGCTCTTTTTATTCGAACTTTGTATAAATAAATTCTAAGGTACATATGAATATTTGTGATTTAATACATTATAACTGGCAACTAATTGTCTCTTCTGTTAAATTTTTAGGGGCACCAAGTTTTGTGTTAATTCTTCCTTTATGTATTTATTTAGGAAGGTGTGACGTGTATGCTGGTTTTTGCTATTATTACAGCCGTCCTTGGAATGTTCCAGTTTGGCTATAACACTGGAGTTATCAATGCTCCACAGAAAGTAAGAATTCATTATTCCTTAATTCTAGCAAGATGCTGAACCAACTTACTGTAAAATAAATATAAGTTAGAATGCAAATTTCGATGATCTCTTAAAAGAAAATCGTATTTACTAGAACAAAGTCGATGTTAACCTTCGTACGACAACAGAATTACAACTTCCTTCAAACTCACGAAACAAGGAGCGAATACTTTTACAAATAAACACAAATATTTTGCGACTTGAGTGAAACTTTACACGTTTAGTGTAGATTTTTTTACATGAGAGTGTTTTGAAGCTTTCATTTGGTGAAGTCAAGTGCCTGCTATGATATTCAAAATGGGCCAATATTTTAAAATCTAGCTGCAAATATGCTCAATCTTGTTTTTTTTTTTTTGTTTTTGCTACTGAAGACCGCAAAATTGTGTGTATATATATAACATTTACACCAAAATGTATGTTACAACATATAAATTGCATTTGAATGGCATTCTATATGGTTAATATAACTGGGCTGATAGTTGTTGTTTGTAGTTAAGCACAAGGCTACACAATGGGCTATCTGTATCGAAACCCGGTTTCTAGCGTTCTAAATCCGCAGACATACCGCTGTGCCACTGGGTGGCCTGGGCTGATGGAACTAAATACTTAGATGTTCGTTGTATTGGATTTGTTATCCAATCTCGACAAGTACGTTTCAGAGGTTAAAATATTTAGAGGAGCCTTAACGTTTAAATTAGTCAGGATTCAGTTCTTCATTACTCCAAGATGAACTATTTTTACTTCCAAGGTTTCTCTCACCTACTAGAAATAGCTGGTGTCAACAAGGTTAGTGTGTTATCTGAATAAACGTATGTCACACTTTGATGAAACACTCATGTACAGAAAATGTCAACAAGTAATTATTTAAAACAGAAATAAGTTCATAAAAAATTATTTTTCACACAGCTGCGTTCTTTCGTTGTATTAGTATGTATTTGTTAACGATATGATGAAAACTGACATATAAGACAATGCCAGGTTTCTGTTGTTGTTTTTCTTTTATTTTGTAATTTATTTATATAAGTTTGTTTGTTTGTAATTAAGCCCAAAGCTACACAATGGGCTATCTGTGCTCTGCCCACCCGGATTCTAGCGTTGTAAGTCCGCAGACATACCGCTGTGCCACTGGGAGGCTATATAAGTTTTTGCTGTAATGAGAATATTATATGATTTTTATATTGAACGTTATTGTAATAACAAATTAAATATTTTTAGAGCCTGAAATTAGGTCTTCTTTTTTTTCTTGATGAGTTCATTCATGGGTCAACGGTAAGGTTACTGATGCTAAAGTACGAGGTTCGATCCTCGCAATGGACAAAATGCAAATAGCCCATTGTATGGCTTCTCATTGAAATAAACTTTTGGTAAATCTAGAGATATCCATTCGGAGCAGATACTTTATTCTTTGGCACTTCGTGTTTATAAAATCAGCGGGTTTGTGTTGTATTTTAAGCCTACAATGTTTAGACAAGGTTGACCTGGTTTGGACTAGAATACTACTCTCTGGTATTTAAAAGAGAGCACAAGAGCCGCACAAAAAGGTCTCGCTTGTAAGGAAAACTAAAATCTTACAACCACCTCCAGATCATTCAAGCTGAGTGTCGCTTCAGTTCGTGTTATTGCTCACAAGCGTGTGCCATTTCTCTGCACCACTGGTGGTTATACATGTCATTCTAAACCTGTGAAGGCAATTGTTTTCGAGTTGAGGAGACAACATTTCAACTATTTTGATATTGTGATTTTTCCTACTCGAACGACGTTGTTGTTGCTTTTTAGATAAAAACTATAAAATGGGCTATCTGCGCTATTTCCCCGCGGGGAATCGAATCCGCATTATAGCGTTGTAACTCCGTAAATTTACCGATGACCCACCGGGGGACCTACCAGGACGTAACCGATGTCTAGGTGACTTGAAAGAACCCGTCTTTCATTAACTGGCTTAAAAGTTCTGACTGTTTGCTTTGACCAAGAAGTGACAACGCTCACTTTAATGTGGCCGGACATGGCCAGGTTGTTAGGGAGCTCGAATCGCAATCTCCGGATCGCGGGTTCGAATCCACGTCCCATCAAACATGCTAGCCCATTCAGCCGTGAGGAAGTTATAATATGACGGTCAATCCCACTATTCTTTGGTAAAAGAGTAGCCCAAGAGTTGGCGGTGGGTGGTGATGACTAGGTGCCTTCCACTGCTAAATTAGGGACGGCTAGCCTAGATAGCCCTCGTGCAGCTTTGCGCGAAATTCAAAACATACAGTGCTTTAATTTCTTCAGAATTAACGCCAACATGTTTTTTATGTGCTTCTTATTTAAACGTTTATACAGTAGTTTGTCTGTTCCATTTCACGCAAAACTACACGGTAGCTATCTTCACTAGTCACCCCTAATTTTGAAATGTTAAACTAGAGGGAAGGCAGCTAGTGCCCACCACCAACTCCTGGGAAATTCAAATCAAATAGTGGGATTTGACCCATCGATAGCTTTTATAACACACCCATGGCCTTAAAGTAAGAAGCGCGAGTGTTTGTAGTAACAGTATTGAATGGTTAATACGCATTTAACTTTTTTTTTTTGTATATCAAGAATTCCAACTTTCTTTCGGTCATAACGAATAATAACCTTTAACGTGAGGTAAACAGAAGACATAATAATAATAACATCGAAATTTCACACCATTACACACTTGAGAAGTCATAATCTATTTCGGCAGCGCTAGTTCGGGTTAAGTTTCATTCAGATGTAATCACAAGCAATTTTATATAGTACAAAAAACTCATTGACGTCAGCCTAATCAAATCTTATTTGCTGAGACATTATTTCGCTCTTATACGTTCCTCTTCCTCTGTACACAGTAGAGAAATAATGAGATGGCGATAAAGAAAGCCTTTTCTAAAGTGCTCCACGTATATTATATCCTACTGTGATATACTGTCGAATAGGAGGATGGTGATAAAGAAAGCCTTTTCTAAAGTGCTCCATGTATATTACATCCTACTGTGATATACTGTCGAATAGAAGGATGGTGATAAAGAAAGCTTTTTCTAAAGTGCTCCATGTATATTATATCCTACTGTGATATACTGTCGAATAGGAGGATGGTGATAAAGAAAGCTTTTTCTAAAGTGCTCCATGTATATTATATCCTACTGTGATATACTGTCGAATAGGAGTATGGTGATAAAGAAAGCCTTTTCTAAAGTGCTCCATGTATATTACATCCTACTGTGATATACTGTCGAATAGAAGGATGGCGATAAAGAAAGCCTTTTCTAAAGTGCTCCATGTATATTATATCCTACTGTGATATACTGTCGAATAGGAAAATCTCTTTTTGTGAAATTATAATCGTGAAGTTAGTGGAATTATTTGAATCTTGTCCCATTGTACATTACCTCCATACAACGAAGTTTATTTCAATTACATTGATCAACTTAATCAAGGGCCAGGCGTCACCTACTGGTTTGTGTTCCGGTCTGTGATTCCGAGGGTCCAAAGTTCGAGTCTCTGTGCCTCAGAATCGCCGTCGGTGTATTAAAAAAGTGACGGCTAAATACCATTATTGGAATAGAGTAGTCCAAGATTTGACGGAGGGGGCTGTTGATAAGCTGCATTCTCATTATTCCATTATTTTAAAATTAAGGACCGCTTTGGGCAAATATCCAAAATACACATACATAAACAATGTGTGCTTGAGTAGTTATTTACACTAGTCTGTGTCCTATGCTAAACACATGCAAAATATGATAGATAAGACATAATTTTGACTTTCTGAATGATCAGTCTTCAATTGAGAACAAAGTTTAAATGACTTAAAGAAAGCATAATATTTTCAACTTGCAGAGACCTGCCAAACATTTGTGGTCAAATTAGTATCTCTATTGCCACAGTTCCTCTTTAAATACAGGATTTTAAAAATAATACACAAGAATTCTATTCGCAGACACCGAAATCTATAAATGCACTTGTTTTAGGCTTAACAGTAGTTAAGACTTTATTAAGTACAGCCTAAATTAACACTGTAACTTGTGCGCATTCTTTTCATTAGTTTAGTTAGGGCTAAACTTTACCGTCTTAATACTAACAGCAAATAAACTTAGAATATTATTTTGCGACTTAACGTTCTACCTTTTTAGAAACATTGATAAGCTCTTAATGTGTTGTTATACAAAATGTCTGATAAAGTATATTTATATCCGCCTTTTGTTTACAACCGTTGAAATTAAGTGCGCGCGCATGCTCATTTAGATAGTAAGGTGTGCACTCATTTTCAGGACAGAAAAAAACTAGGTATTATTATAATACATGATAGCCTGGTAAACTTACTTCACGACATAGTAAGGTCAATCAGCACTGAGAAAGCCTATGTTGTTTCAATTCCTTGTCATCGCGTCATTTTGTTCACTCTGATACCAAAAACGAGGATGCAAATCCACATAACTTTCAAAATCCCTCTGTAAATATGCCCTAAAATAATTAACAGAATAATTAGTTGGTTGGTTGTTTTGAAGTTAAGCACAAAGCTACACAATCTGTGCTCTGTCCACCACGGGTATTGAAACCCGGTTTCTAGCGTTGTAAGTCCGTAGATTTATCGCTCTGAATAATTAGAGAAGTTCGATTCTTAGGTAAATAAACTGTTGTCGTGTTCTGTCATCACGTGCAAGTTGAATCAGATTCCTGCTATTATTCCTGCTAAAATGGTTCACGCGCGTTACGCCCCAAAAGAGACGAAGCACACGTTGGAAACGATGATCATCGTAGAGACACCCAAACACCTTCTTTATGGAGTTTTCCTATATTCCTTAGATGTTTACGTTTCATCAGAGACATGCAATTTCAGGGCCATTTCACGAGTGTGTTGCCTTAGGTTAGACTCAACAAGCGTCTTCAGAGCATCAATATCAATTCCAACGTGTCGGCCACTGCCATCACAGTTTTTAAGGCTAAAGGCTAATGTTACTGTAGCAGACAGTGTTGTCATATCCCGGTTATAAATATTACTGTGGCAGACAGTGTTGTCATGACCCGGTTATTAATGTTACTGTGATAGACAGTGTTGTCATGACCCGGTTATTAATGTTACTGTGGCAGACAGTGTTGTCATGACCCGGTTATTAATGTTACTATGGCAGACAGTGTTGTCATGACCCGGTTATTAATGTTACTGTGATAGACAGTGTTGTCATGACCCGGTTATTAATGTTACTGTGATAGACAGTGTTGTCATGACCCGGTTATTAATTTTATTGTGATAGAGAGTGTTTTCTCGAATTGTTATTAATTTTGTCTTGGATTAAAGTTAAATAAGGATATTAATTTTTCACATAGATTATTGAAGAATTCATCTCGGAGATGTACAGAGAGAGGACAGGGGAATACATTACCGAGGATTTCAAGAGGTTCTTGTGGTCAGTGACAGTGTCCATCTTTGCTATAGGGGGTATGATCGGAGGCATATCAGGGGGAACAGTTGCTAACCAGTTTGGGCGGTAAGTGTTATTACTATAAGATTTAACATTAATTAACGACGTCGCGCACATTCTTATTGCCTTAATATTTGTTGTTGTTTTTTCTGTAAATGTCGACAAACATCTTAAGTTTGTTTGAACATTTAAATTGTAAAGAATATATAGCATAAAATTCCCCTGTCCACTTATACTTTGACTTCTGAAACTCATAGTGAAATATGTTCGTTTGTTTCATAGGAAACTGGTATTGAACATGGTTTCGTTTTCTTACTGATTAATTACTTGAGAATGATCGGAACGTCGTACCTGTTCTAAAAATAAATCTTACTTATTGTAAGAGCTCTAACTTGTATATATTATGATATTGAACATGTTTGGCTTGGTTGTTGTTAAGCAAAAAGGTACAGAATGAGCTGTTTAATACCATTGTCATGACGTAGACTGTCTTATGATTCCCATCAGTTAAATAACATCGTTTTTTGTGTTTGTTGTTGTTTTTTGGAAGAAGTTTATAATTATTGCTTTTCAAATCCAGCTGCTTATCATTTTTGTGTTTTCAATACATTTCAGAATATAGATGGTATTACCTAATTCTTTGTAAGTTTTTATTATTAAGATTGTTACTATTATATCGTTTTTTTCCCCTTAGTCTGTCAGAAACTGAAACAACTATGTTCCATAATTATGTGGTTATACTTTAGAAATAAAAAATATGTGTTTCAAAGTGAATTCCTCAAGTACCGTTAGAAATTTAGGGTTAAGGAGTATAATATATCGATCTGTCTGCAGTCGTCCATTACGACAGAGAAGAAGACTGTACGATAAATTTGAGTAACACTAAAATAATGGGATATAAAAAAATAAAAACAAAATAAACATTCTACATCCACCTAATTGATATTTCAATCCGTTACCAAAATGTAGAAAACCTCTTAAAGACATTCAGATAGTTGAACATAAATGTGAAGTTCAATTTTATCATTTGATTCCACTTAGCTATACCGATTTCGGTGTTAAAAACAATTCAAAACACCATACTAACAGTACACGCTCCGCCACTATAAGAAGCTTAGTGTTGTACTTTCGAGTTACCCTTGTCGAGGAGGCCCGGCATGGCCTGGTGGTTAAGGCGCTCGACTCGCAATATGAAGGTCGCGGACTCGAATTCCCGTCACCGAACATGCTCGCCCATTCAGTCGTGCGGGCGTTATAATGTAACGTTTAATCACACTATTCGTTGGTAAAAGAGTAGCCCAAGAGTTGGCGGTGGGTGGGGATGACTAGCTGCTTTCCCTCTAGTTTTTCACTGCTAAATTTGGAACGGCTAACTCAGATAGCCCTCGTGTAGCTTTGCGCGAAATTCAAAACAAACCCTTGTCCAGGGTTACTTTGTGATAGTTGGAATTCTCCGAAACTCAGTGACAAATTAAGAGAATGATAGATTGTATTTCCTATTTATTTTTCGTATTTTAAACAGTTTGTACTGAATGATTCAGAATGATAAATTAGTAGCATAATATGCTGGATATTCTTACTGCAGTGTGAATAAAGGACAACTGAAAACACCATATATATATATATATATGTATATAACTCAAAATAGTTTGTTGGTTCAAGTTATGATAAGGAACCCTAGTTGAGAGAAAAACGAACCAGACTTCTATGAAAAAAAGATAAAGGATCGAATTCTGGCCCCCACCAACGAGAAATAGTCCTTCTCGAAACTTCTATGAAGTAGGCGGCAGATTAGCAAGATAAAAACTAGTTTCTAGTTTAAAAAAATACAAATTAATAATTTGACTTAGGTGATTGTATAGGTTACTAACCAGGACAACGATTGATATTAGAAGTACTCTGAAAACGACGTAAAATGTGCGAAAAGAAAATATTCTCTGGTATGTTACGATAAATAAACGAAATGTAAAAATCGTTAACATTACTTTAGCTGTAGTTTAGTTGATTTTATTCATGTTTCAGTAACGGTTTTCATTTTTTAACAAACAGGAAAGGAGGTTTGGTTGTAAACAACATCATGGGGATATTAGGAGGTGTTCTCATGGGGCTCAGCAAGACGTCAAACAGCATCGAGATGCTCATATTTGGACGCCTTTTTATAGGAATTAATTGTGGTTAGCACAGTTTTTCTGTTGATTATTTCAGTCAATTTCTCATTTTTCTTTGTACTCCATGGGTTTGAATAATAGACAAGATTTTTTTTTTTCAGAAACGCTTGTTTATTTCACAGAATTTAAAGCCAGTGTACTTTACATCTCATGGTATGATATAATGTTTTTACACGCGTACTTCGGGGTCTGCAGTACTAACCAAACGCCCCACCCAATTATTATAACATTAAAAATATCAGAAAAACATGAAACGTTAAATTATACTACTTTTTAATTAGAAGTCAAAATAAAAACACTAAAGTAATTTGCACCACGGAACCATTGGTTGAAGCATAATTATTGTAAAACTCACAGTGACTGCCGTAACAGTCAAATATTTATTAAGCAGTAACAAAGGTAATTCCTTTAAAGTTACCTCTCTATAGTTTACTCTAGTAAAACATTTTTAACTCTCTCCACTACAACTGAAGCCATTTAACAAAAAATACAAGAAACTATTTCACCAGTACACATGTATATATATTGTTACGTATCCGCTTGTTAATTAACTTTCCGTAACTTCGTTCGGACGAAACTTTAGCGACACAAGTCCTTACTTAATAAAACTAGTTTATTCTTTCTGAATATGACTTTACCGATACACTTATTTTCAACAGTCGCGCTAAAACAAACGCTATAACAAACGTTAACTTCAACAATACTTTCTCACTGCAGATCAATTACTCACTACCTACACACATTGTTCCGTCACGTTGTGAGCGTCTTATTTATATACCAGACAAACATATATCTAGTAAATGCTAGGGCATTCACCAAGGAAGAAAAAGATACTTCTAGAAAGCAGGTGGCGTGACAATAGTCACGTGATCTCGCTGACGCAACAATATGTATATAAAGTAAGTCTAACTTCAAACATTCTTGTTTTCCCAGTCCACATGATACTTGACTTAAATAATGTACTTGTAGTGATTCAAATAAACTCGATGCCATGCATGTGGCTTAAACACGTGTCTTCGTATATTTGAAGAAAGTTAAATAGTTTCATGTGAGCTAATCTTGCCTTCTGTCTAGTTTTGGAGAGTCGTTTTGAACTCTGTGAGTCTGAAACGTTGTGTTCAAATCTAGACAGCAGACAGGAGCACTCCGTATTCAACAAGTGTCTTACTATTTTGAAAGTCAGCCATTGTTAGGGTTAAGCGACAGACTCATAGTACGAATAGTATCGTTAGTAATTTTGATATTTAAACTAACTATAGGTTTAACTTATTTTCTGATACCTCCTCACCATCCCCTACAATTGTGGAAGACCTTTCCTTAAAGCAGTCAAGGCCAATAAAGATTTTATCTACTTAGAACTCTACAGATTAATCAATTTAGCAGCGCGTTGACAGAACTACTTAATTTACTGTCAGTGTTAGAAGAAACACATGCCAATAAAATTTCAATACTTGGAACAACATTTTCTCTGCCGATTATAAAAAAGTACTTCTAGTCAACTAATTGCAAAGCTTGTAAAAATCAGAATTAAAGAGCTAATGTTTTACTTGAAAAAAACATCAGCACAAGTAAATTGTAAAACTTCTACATATTAATTGAGACTCTAACGAGATAATAAACCCACAATTGGAAGTAAAAAGAGTGCATCATAATATGTTAGAGATCTACAATTCTACGAACATGAAACTGATGTTAGCGGTGAAGCTAATTTTTCATTGATATTGTTAGGACAACGAAAGTCACGCGACACTGGGAGCATGTGCGCTGGAGTTTCTGGAAGGATCATGAATTTTCCTGGCAACTCTAGTTTGTTCGAGGCGCCCTCTTTTGTAGTATATAAGCCTGGCGAGAAAAACCAG